CGGCGGCGTCCCGCCGGCCCCGGCCGCGCCGCTGGATTGCCCGGGGCGGGGAAGCCTCTCCAGGCGTCTCTCGGTGATCCGGGAGGGCATGGGGAGCTCCCGCGGTCTGCGCAGGCTGGCAGACAGCTCACCGCTGGCCCCCTCCGGTTGTTTCGTAACCGGTTTCAGTGCGGTTCTGTGTGTGTGTCTCTGCCCGCGGTGAAGAGACACGGGTTTTTTCCCCTTCCGCCTTTACCGGTTCCTGCTACATAAAAATGTATCTTTTTGTCTGTAACAAAGTCTCTTAGGAGGGGGCGGTTTCCAATAATTTTTGTTTCGAAGTTTAAAGCGGTGTTTTCTGGCTCCGGGGTTCCTTTCCTGAGGAAGGTCCCTTAAATTCCGAAGTCCCTCACAACCGGAGGTACCAGGTGCCTAGATGGACCTGATGAATTGGAGACTTGGCTTTGCGCACACTTAGTGAGTTTTTCTATTGTGGATTGTTGGGTTTTTTTAAGTACTTTTCAATTATTACATGGTACGAGTTACCTGGCAGTGACTTAAAGCTATGGCTCTGTGTACCCATGTGTGCCCATTAGCTTTAATTGCAGATACCATCCTCCTGTGAGCAATTAACTTGATTCCTGGTAGGCTCAGAGCTCTTGGGTGGATACTGTGTATAAAATCCTGTTAACCCCCTCTTGTAAGGGGTCTTTAATGGACAGGAGAAACCAAGGGGTGTTGAGGAATTGCTACCAAGACCTTTGCTCAGCCGAGAGGAGGGGGTGATGGCTGGCTCCAGCAGAAGACTCCTCCAGTGTGTCCAGGATCTCCCCACAATTAACTTGATTCCTGGTAGGCTCAGAGCTCTTGGGTGGATACTGTGTATAAAAACCTGTTAACCCCCTCTTGTAAGGGCAGCAGGGGGGTCTTTAATGGACAGGAGAAACCAAGGGGTGTTGAGGAGTTGCTACCAAGACCTTTGCTCGGCCAAGAGGAGGGGATGATGGCTGGCTCCAGCAGAAGACTCCTGCAGCGTGTCCAGGATCTCACCGTGGTGCAAGAGCTGAGGTGAGGGATGGGCTGGAGCTCTGGGGAGAAAAGGTGAGGGAAGGGCTGGAGTGGGAAAAATAAGGGCAGGTGATGATCTGCAGAAATGGAGGAGATGTTACCGAAGTTAAAAAGAGGTGAAAGTTTATAGCTGGAGTGAAAGTGGAAAAAAACAATAAATTGAAACGGGATGCAGGTTTTTTTTTTTTAATAGGGGAAGAAATGTTTGAAAAGACAGGCGAGAAGGACTGAAGTAAATAACTAGGTATGACAGCCTAGGAGATTGGGACAGGGAGAAGGGGAGAGAAAAATCAGAGTCGGGGTAGAAGACAAAAAGCAGCATGAAGAGTGAGAAGGTCAGTGAGAGAGAAAAATCGGAGTCAGGGGTGGAAGACAAAAAGCAGCATGAAGAGTGAGAGGTCAGTGGCAAGAGGGAAGAGAAGTGTGAGCTCCTGGAGGAGCAGTTATGGTAATTCACATTAACAAAAAGATGTGGGAAGGTACTGAGATACAGAGGCAAGGAGAGGACTTGAAAATCCTGAGAGGAAAAAGCAAAAGCATGCATGGATTTTTTTTTTGCTTTTTCATGTCACTGGCAAGTCCGTGAAAAAGCAAAAGCATGCATGGATTTTTTTGCTTTTTTGTGTCACTGGCAAGTCCCATTTTAACCATGTTTGTGCCCTGTTGTCTCTCCTCTCGTGGACGCTGCCGGCCTATCTTTCAGATGTGTACATAAAGTTGCACATTTGGCAGTAGGAGTCCTGTTGCCTTGTCACAGAAGGGAACGATGAGGAGCACTTACTTATTTTTAAATAATTTCTTAATCCGTAATCCTTTGGCTACACTGTGAGTAGGAACAGTGAGAGCTTTCAGAATCGTCTTGGGCCAAGGCAACCCGAGAGCAGGTATCCAAGGCAGGGGCCGGGGAGGTGGCTTTTTGTAATGCTTTGTGGGGGTGATCAGATGGAGAGCCGTGCCCCGGTTTTTCTTCAGGGAGGAGGGCTGCAGCGAGGCGGCTCTCGGGAGCCGGGGGGCGGCCAGGGAGCCCGGCTCGGGCGGTGCTTCGCCCCGGGGCAGTGACAAGTTCCACCATTTCACGCTGAGATCCACCCTCCCCGGGGCCTGCTCTGTCCCAGGGGCCGAAGGCGGGCGGGGGGGCAGCACCAAGGGACGGGGTATCCCCCGAGACCTGTGCCGCTGCCCCAGCCCCGGGCCTGCCCTCTCGGTAGGGCAAGGAGAGCCGCCGGGCCACCTGCCCCGGGGGGGCTGCGGGCTGGAGGAGGCCGTGAAGGGGCCGCCGCCCCGGGGGGGCTGCGGGCTGGAGGAGGCCGTGAAGGGGCCGCCGCCCCGGGGGGGCTGCGGGCTGGAGGAGGCCGTGAAGGGGCCGCCGCCCCGGGGGGGCTGCGGGCTGGAGGAGGCCGTGAAGGGGCCGCCGCCCCGGGGGGGCTGCGGGCTGGAGGAGGCCGTGAAGGGGCCGCCGCCCCGGGGGTGAGGAAGCCTGGCAGCCCTTCCCGCCGCTGCCAGCGCGGTG